CTGTGGAAGGATCCAACAGCTTTCCGCTACTTTAGCCCATCCTCGCATGTGAGCTCAGAGCTGCGGAGCCGCCATGGGGGAGACAGAGCAACCATCGGCAGCGGGAAAGGGATGGTGGGGCTGCCAGATGCCCCCAAGGAGGTGAATCCTCCTCCTGGGCTGCTGCACAGAGATTAAATAACTACCATCTGAGGGTTTTTTCCCACCTGGATTTGAGGTGCTGGGCTGACACCTCACCCTGAGGAAGGACCAGCATCTCCCAGCTGATGCAGAGTGTTTGCTGTGGGGCATTGCCTCCCCACTCCACAGAGCTGGTGATTTTCTGTCGGGATGAGTAATGCTGGGACAGGAGCATGGACACGGAGGGACCAGCCCTCAGGGCTCCAGGATAGTGCACAGCCATCCTGCCAGGAAACCTGCCCAAGAAACCTCTTTTGGGTTTCCATGGCCAGCAGCATCTCAGAGGCTTTAAAAAGGTCACTTCTTAGTGACAAGGAGAGAAGGCAGGGGACTCTGCTGCAGCAAAGCCAGAGGCTGAAGAGACCCCTAACCACACAGGCAGTGGCTGTAGGCACAGGGTCATGGGGACAGCCCTGCTCCAGGACAGGGTTTTTCAGGGCATGATTTCCATCTTGGTGTCTCATCTGCTGTCCCCAGAGTTAAGGTATGTGCTGAAAAATCAAAAAAGATTTTAGAAATTATGTTCTGAGTCTCCTCTCAGCCCCAGTCCTGCAAGGATCATGACTCTCCTTCCCAAGATGTGGCACATAGGATGACCTCTGCAAAATATGCTGTGGAGCCTGCTGTGCCAGTGAACACCACCGTGGCGAGCACAGCCTGCTCCCATCTGGCAAGGCCACTGCCAGGGCAGCAGAGCATGGGTTTAGTAGCTCCATGCAGACAGCAAACCAGCTCCAGCAGCTGCAAACCAGGAGCACGTCAGCCTCTTGAATGGGTCAGTTTACCCCAGTGCACCATGGCTGCTCCCTACTGCTCCTGGGAAGCTGCTGTGCCTGGATGGAGCAGGGCCAGCCTGTCCATTGCCCCTGCAGCCATCCCTATGAGGACCTTGTTCAGGTTCAGAGGAGTACTTATTTTCCCAAAAACTCTGTCACTAGGGCCTGCGGGGCTGCTTCCCAAGAGCTACTGACCAGTATCTGCCCAGCTGCTCTTTGGCCAAGTGTACCATCCCTCTGGCACCACGACAAGCCTTTCCTCTTCATGTGGTGAAGAGATAAAGATGGGGCTGAGACACCTTGCTCCTTCCCAGAACGGGCAAAGCCACCAAGTGCAGCCCTGCAGCCACCTCACCTTCGGGTCGGGTTTCACCCTCTCTGCCCTTTGTTCCTCATTGCTGGCTGTCCCCGAGACCTCACCACATTTCCCTCTGCCTTTGCAGCAGGAAGATGGATAGCTGCACCTTGTGCATTATGTGGCAGCCAAGAGACAGGTGGCACTTCCAGAGCCATCGAGAGGGATATGGAGATGCGACACTGAAGATGTCACTGGCCCCTGGCTGTCCTAGGGCCCCCCAAGTGCCACGCCCTGACCGCCCCATGGCCGCCGGCCCCAGTAGCGGGGTGGCTCACACTCGCCACCCCCGCCCGTCTCCACCAGCACCGTCTTTAATAAGAAGTGTGGAATATTTTAGCACCTATGTAAAAGCCACCACAGACGGTGGTGGCAGCCGTTGCTAGGGAGACGCTCCCAAAAATAGCCCCACTCCGCCAACCTTTCCCAGTGCTGCTGTGGGGATTGAGGGAGGCAGGGGGATAGAGGGATGGAGGGATGGAAGGGTGGGACAAGGGGTGGATAAAGGGATGGATGAAAGGAGGGAGAGTCATGGAGATGGGCAGAGGAATCTTTGGAGGGATCAATGGAGAGATGAATGGAAAGAGGAGGAGTGAGTGGTGGTTGAAAAGATGGAGGGAAGAATGGACAGAGAGAGAAGGATGACTGGACATGGATGGAGAGATGGGTGCAGAGGAAAGCAAGAGCTCCTGGGAAGGTGAGCAAACGCTGCCTGCCCCTTCTCCTGCCTGGGCATGAAGAGAAGAGCTACCTTGATGCCAGCAGCCCCTGCTTGGATACCCATGGTCCTGCATTCCTGCAATACCAGCTAAGCCAGCACAAACCCTTAAGCCCTTTCCGCATTGAGCTGGTCTGACTTTGGGGGTTTAAACCAAAGTTTTGGACTTCTTAACACCTGCCATGCTCCCTCTGTGATCTTCCTCCAACCATCTCATCTCTGTTCTCTTCCACACCAGCCCAGCCAACCAGACCCAGTCATGGGGGCAGAGATGGTGAGACACAGAGGTGGCCCATGATGCTCTACCCCACTATGTTCCCCAGCCCCTCTGGGGAATCATTTCCCTCTCTTAGACAAATCACTGAGGTTGCCCACTCTCCCAGGAGGTCTAGATGCAGCCTGAGCTACATCCTGCACCAGAAATGAAGAGAGACACCTGGAGCACCACTAGGGGCGAAAGCACAGAAGCCTTCCTGATAGAAGGAAACAAACGTTTTAGTGATAAGGAAATGCTCTTTTGTCCCTGTTCTTGTCCCATAGCCATCACCTCACAGGACAGGCAGAGGTGGAGAAGGGCCCTGGATGAAGTTGCTGCTGCCTGGTCCAGGGGCTCTGCAAGAGGAGCCTTCCAGACCAGCAGAGGCAGAGAGGGAAAAACCCCTAAAATAGAACTAAAGGAGGAGGGGTGGGGGGGGAGGGAAGAGAAAAATAAACCAAACAACCCCAAAATCTCATTTTTAATATCAAATCCCAGCTCACTTGCCTCCCTGTCACCCTGGCGACATTCTTTGTGGTCACCATGGAAACGGGAGGCATGGAGAGAGCATCACCGTGCAGGGTGGTGGCAGCACCCGGCATTATTTTGGGAGGCAGGGAGACACCCGGCGCAAGGCGCTTTGCATTGTGGCAGGGCGGGAGGAGGGAAGGTTTATTTTTACTTGATCCCACTCCATGAGCCAATTTTCTCTCCTCTAAGAGCCTGGGTGTCCCTTGCCCTGCAGCAGCTTTCCTGCAGCCCTTATGTGCCACACAGGGATGTCCCATGTGGACACCCTAACCCTACCACCCCGTTCCAGCTGGGTGAGCTTGGTTGGGCTGCTCCCATGAAATCCCTCTAATGGTCACCTCAGCTGGTGGCTCCTGGTGCCACAGTGGGAGATAATGCTGGGACTTGGAGCCCATCAGTTCTTCTTGGGAAGGTGCAAGATGAAGAGAATAAACCTTTGTCACCCCTCTGCAGGCTTCTTTCTTTGGGTGGGACAAGAAGCTGCAAAGAGGAATGCAGGGACAAGAGAAAGACAAGGGCTCTCAGACATTGCATACCAGGGGATTGGAAGGAGATCTCTCGGAAGAGAGTGCCCGAAATCTGTTCCTTCCCCCCAAACATTACATCCCTGCTCTATGGGTTAAAACTCTTTGCACACCTGCAAAAGGACCTGGGATACCAGGGACCTCCAGGGCCACCAGGGTGGGGCTTCGCTTTCACCAGCACCCACATGGCCTTGGGAAGCCCTGCTGAAATCCCAGGCAGCTCCACTCTGATGTCTGGAAACCCAGTTCAGGCAGTCCCTACCCTTTGCCAATTGTCTCCTTTGCTCCAACCCACCCTTTTCCCACCACACCAACCCTTGCCTCAGTGCCCTGGCTGGGAACAGGCAGGGATGTCTCCAGTTTCGTGGGGCCGAGCAGGTGTTTTCCAACTCAGCCTGTGAATCCATCTGGAAAAGCCCTATGATGCAGGTGCTGGAGCGTCAGAGAGGGAAAACACAACCGCCAACCTAATGGGCAGGGAGGAAATGTATGCAAATATATTCAGAAAGGGATCCGGTGATGCTAATAGGCTTGTTAATCCTCTCAGAAAGCACCAGGAATAATATTTTTACACTTTGGTTGTTAAGGATTTTACTCCAAGCAAGCCCATAAAGACAGAGAGAGATATGTAGGGGATGGCCACAGGTTGTGGCTGGGGACAGGGAGGGTAGCAGTCAGAGCCAGCTTCGGGACAGGAGCAGGCAGGATCACACAATCCAAGAGTAACCAAATGAGATCCATGGCCAGATGTTATTTGCTCAGGGACAAGGTGACAAATCAAAACTTCCATTTGGTTGTACTAAAGCAACTTTAAATTAGTGATTAGATATTGACTATCTAATTGCTGGGTCTTGATGCAATGCCCCGGCTGCTGCCATGAGATCTCCCTGTGTAACTGCTGCTCCAAGTACAAGGTTCATCGAAAACAAGCTGGTCTCCCAGCTTAATATATTTTCAAGTATATTAAAACGTTCTAACAGTCACAATTGAGCTCTTCTCCATAAAATCTATAAAATCAGCGGTCTTCTTTCACTTAACACATTCTCTACATTATCTGTAACCCTCTTGCAGGAATCCAGGATTAATATTTTCAGTGAAGTGTGTTTCAAACCAGCCCTTGGGAGGATCTTTTGTTTTCTCTGGGGCTGTGCTCGCTCAGGGATGCACACCGCTCCACATAGGGCACTTGAAGGAAGGTGTGCCTGGTGGGGCCGACACCAGGGAATGGCCGTCCATGAACAGCTGTGGAAGAGCCACAATGGCTTGATAATTCAAATATCTTTCCACTTCTTCTTTGGCTCCAGGAGACAAGGCGGAGTGCTGGTGAGAAGGTGCTGGAGGTGGGATGGGGCCAGGAAGGGCAGAGAGCAGAGGGCTGCGACGGGAAGCAGGACAGAGGGAACTGCACCCATGGCGAATATTCCTAGAAAGCCTGGCCCTGGCCGGAGGGTGTGTCCTCAGGCCAGAGGATGGGAATCCTGCTCCCTCTGCCTTTTCCCCTTTGACCACACTTCCGTGTGTAACTTGAGACAGCAGGGGAAGAAAAAAGAGGAAGGAAAAAAAAGTAAAAGGGAAAAATAGCGCAGTTATTCCCGCCTCTGCCTCCTCCTCTCTCTCCTCCCCGGCCAGCCAGGAGCCACGTCACCGTCACCCAGCACTGGCTCCGGGGCTGCTCTGCCTGGAGAGCTCTCCGGGAGACAAACTCCAAACTCCAAACTTTCAGCCCGAAGCAGAGAGAGGAAGGCCCTGGGCTGGAAGAGGGAGAATTCACCTCGGTGGAAAAGTAAACAAGAGAGATTCCAGCCTGGCAGGGGAAAGGCATCTGCAGCTACGGGAGAGGGGAGACTGAACTTTGCGCTACAAGAAGGAAGGGCTCCGTGCTCAGGGAAAAAGGAAATTTAACCGAAGGAGATCGTTCATTCAGTCGAAGCCCGGTGGAGAAAAACTCCCCGCCCTCGCCCTCCCTGCCTGCAGAAAGATTCCCACTCCCTTCACCCCAGAGGAATCGCCCCGGCACCATGAACATCTTCCGCATCCTGGGGGATGTCTCCCACTTGCTGGCCATCATTATTCTTCTGCTGAAGATCGTGAAGTCCAAGTCCTGTGCTGGTGAGTGCTCCCATGTTCCAGGGAAGGAGGGTGACCCTTCTCGGGGGTCAATTTAGTGAGGGGTACAATAAAACGGGAGCTGGAAAGGCCAGTGATAGCCCACAGGAACTGGCAGCCCTTCCCTGTGGACTCTTTGAGGGAAGTAATCCTCTTCCTCTGGGAGGTCTCCCTGCCAGGAGAGGGCTGTGTTGGAAGGTTATGATGTGGCAAAGGCGCACAGCCCCAGGCAGGTGTTGGTCTCAGGGTAGTGAAGTGAAGGAGAGGGTGGCAAGGCTGGAGGGAGGTGGAAAATGAGAGCAAGAGGTTGTGGTGGCACCAACACCAACTACCTGGAGAGGAAGCTGCTTTAGGTTGGAGGTTCTGCCAGTGGTGGACAGGTGCCAGAGGCTGTCCCATCCCAGGGCGAGGAAATCAGGACAGCAGCTTCCTGCAGGAGAATTTTGCTCACAGTTCCCTCCTCATCAGATTTTGGGGCTGGGCTATGGCCATTATCACAGGTACAGAAGTGAGTGGGCATGACTGCACGTCTCTGTCAGCAATGGCCAAGTTCCATCAGTGCCCCGGGGCTGGTCCTGCAGCCCTTCCCTCCCGTAGCAGATGTCACATCACACAGTCCCTGGTGAGGTGGGCAGGCAAAGGGGCAGGGGAGGGAAAGGAAAGGCCTTTTGATGACACCAAGCACTGAACTGGCCAAAGTGGTGAATATGCCCACCGAGCACCAGTTCCTACATGCAGGGGCATCAGCAGGAACCTGCCCTGTTACTTGAGAGACTCTGGCCACTCTGGGGTAGAGCTACCCACACACCAGCCCTGGCTTACAAAACAACACACTCACATACAAATGCTTCCAAAGGAGGTGTAAGGGGAAACCACCATCCCACAGACCCTTCCCTTCATCTGCTTTATTTTCCTTTCATCTCTCTGCCATGCAGGAATCTCTGGGAAGAGTCAGATACTTTTTGCCCTCGTCTTCACAACCCGCTACCTGGACCTGTTCACGAATTTCATCTCTGTCTATAACACTGTGATGAAGGTAAGGAGAGGGCAGTGCAGCAGGAGAGGTTCCCCTCAGCTCGCTGTGGTTTCTCAGGCAGGTGAGGGTACACAGTCACTGAGTTTTTCAGCCAGGAAGGGTGGATAAAGATGCTTCTTTTGGTGCCACTGTCCATTGACCAGAAAAACCCCTTGCCATAGTCACTAAATGAGCTGAGCTGTATCTAGTGCCACTAAAACTGGAACAAGATGCCATGAACCAAGCCTGGGTGTCCTTGTACGGCAGGAGTATTAATATAAAGCTGCTACCAAGCCAACCTCTTCACTGAGTGTCCCAGAGGGATTCAAACGTGAGATTCTCAATGGTGCAGCAAGCTTTACCTGACTACTGGAATATCTCCAGCAGAAGTCAATCTATAAGGCAACACAGGCAGTCACTATTTTTGACTTTTGGGAAAGCCAGCCTCTCCTTAAGCACAGGAGGTGCAATTGCAGGTAAGGTCTTGCTATCTCCCCTCTCTCTCACAGGTCATTTTTTTGATTTGTGCCTACGTCACCGTGTACATGATCTACGTGAAATTCCGCAAAACGTTTGACAGTGAGAACGACTCCTTTCGCCTCGAGTTCCTGCTGGTCCCCGTCACCGGCCTGTCATTTCTGGAGAACCACAGCTTCACCCCCTTAGAGGTAAGGACAAGCTGAGGCAGGAAAAGAGAAGGGAAGCAGCAGCAGTCTGACACCAGGCAGCAGAGTGAGCAGCATGTTGAATAGCTGAGATTTTTAACAGCAAAAGCAGGCAGAAAAGGCAAAGTTGGCAGGCCTTGAAGAAAGTACCATCTATAGAGCAGCTCAGCACTGTCTCCTCTCACTCCCAGCACAACGAGCTCAGTTTCCTCAACTTCAGCAGCACTACTCATCCCCCTCACACATAAGTGATTTGCCAAACATAAAGCTTTGGGTCTTAACACATACTAACCAGCACTGATTCCCCACTGCCTTCATTTTGCATCACACAGATACTCTGGACCTTCTCCATCTACCTGGAGTCCGTGGCTATCCTTCCTCAGCTCTTCATGATCAGCAAGACAGGGGAAGCAGAGACCATCACAACACACTACCTTTTCTTCCTGGGCCTCTACCGTGCTCTCTACATTGCCAACTGGGTCTGGCGCTACCACACCGAGAATTTCTATGACCAGATCGCTGTAGTTTCCGGGGTGGTACAAACCATCTTCTACTGTGACTTCTTCTACCTCTACGTCACCAAAGGTAGGTAAACAAATCACTGTAATACTGAAAAGTTCATTCAGCATTCTTGCAGCATTAGGGTGGAGCTGCAGCTTGCCATGTGTTAATCCTTACATGACTTTATTTTTTGCTGTGTTTGTGATGCATATAGTGCACCTAAAGTCCAGTTTAAAAAACATATCTATTGATTGAGTGAGTATCACTGTTTGCAAAGCTCCAGCTGTGTGTGTGAAGCACAGCAAGAATTAAACCAGAGTTAGGCCTGGTTTAACCTCACCTTGGGAAGTTAACAACTGAGGTACATTCAATTCTACATATATTTTGAAAGATTATGAATCACGCAAAAAAAAAAAAAAATCCCAAAAAACTTTGAGGGGGAAAAAATAGCTGCAGGCAGACAATGTACCTGAGAAAGCAACTGCAGACATATGGAGATATTATTAAACCTTCTTTTCCTTTGATAGAGAAGATCAAGTTCTTGACTGTCAAGAACTGATTCTGTAAGATGGGCATCTGTACAGGCAAGAAACTCCTGTTTTCCAAAACCAGATGCCTCTTCCATTTCAGTGCCACGCTTTGGTAAATGACTACCAAAGCTTAAAAGTGCACCAAGGACATAAATCCTGATAGAACATGCTGTGGTTTGCTAAGGCTGAAGGACACTTCAACACACCTTTCTGTTGAGGAGGATGGAATTAGATGAAATTAGCCAAGTGGACAACTATTTTCCTCCTTCTTCACTTTCCCCAACAAGTCTGCCAAAAGCAGTAATGATGGCCCACGTTTGAAGTTTCAAGGGATAGATTTTTGGTAGCTTCATGCAATACACCTGCTGATAGAGAGGTGACAGGAGCACTGAGCAGGTGGCTGGCTTTGGCAGATTAAGACTTCCTTCTGTCATTAAATATTTTTGTAGCCAGAAAAATACTTTCTAAAACTGCCATCAAGGTGCTCCACGTCAATTCCTTTTTTTTTTCCTTTTCTAAACTAATTCCCATTTTAGCTCTGCTCAATTCATTTGTCCTGTGTCCTTCTGTATCTTGTGAGAAATCCAAACCCTTTGTAGTTGTGATGGTGGAACAAAAGGGGGGAAAAACCACAACTGCTGGCTTCCAATCTCACACTGCTAGTGACAGAGGTACAAAATCTAGATGATATAGGAGGCAGAAGAAAAAAAACATTTGTAAATGGAACATCACAGCAGGAAGAGAATTGCTTTTTTTCTCTTTTCTTTTTCACAAATGTTCTGGATCATGGGAGAGAAGTGGTATCTGAAGACATGCAAATACTTTGCAGTCATTTATGAGAGCCAGCAATATCATAGCAGGTTGCATCTCTTACATTCTTTCAAAAAACCAAACTTTTCAAAACATTTCTAACACTGAAGAGCTCAGAAAAAAGGGGAGTGATGCTGAAAAAAGCAAAAATGTGTTATATAAAGAAATTGATTTAATAAGACTTCTGAGCCTATAACAAAGCACCACAAAGGGATTTTTATAGAATGTTACTTCTTTTTATCTTGTTTTCAAAACTAGATGAGCTCCCTTCGGTTTTAACACAAGGACATGAAAGATATCCTGAGGAAACTTTCTGCTCCCCAAAGCTTGTATTTCACAGAATGGCCAGGGGTGTGGGCAGTCAGGGTGGCGGGGGGGAAATCATCTAATCCATGCCCCTGTTCACATTTTTCAACATCCTGTCCAGTAAGGTTTTGACTATCTCCAGAGTGAAGGCTCTCTGGGCTATCTTTGCCACTGCCTGACCACCCTCAGTATAAAATATTATTTTCAGATGTTTAAGTGAAATTTCCCATTGTCCCTTGCCCTGTCACTGGGCACCACTCAGCAGCTTGGGTCTGCCTCCATTCCTCCCATCCAGCACCTGTGCACATGGGTAAGGTGCCCTCAGCCTTCTCAACACTGAAGAGTCTCGGCTGACAGCCTGTGCTCCTACATCAAGATACTCTCGTGGTCCTTCTTGACTCCCTTTCTCTTGTTCTGAGAGCCCAGAGCTGAGCCCATCACTCCAGCTGTGGCCTCCCAAGGCTGAGTGGAGAAGAAAAACTCCCCGTTCACCCTGCTAGCAATGCAGCTCCAGATTACTTCATCACGAGGGCACACTGAACTTGTGTTCAACTTGGTGTCCACCAGCATACCCAAGGCCTTTTCTGCCACCCTGCTTTCCAGCTGGGCAGCCCCCAGCACATACTGGTGCCTGGGGTTGTTCCACCCCAGGGCACATGTGCACGCAGCTTTGCTGACTTTCACAAGGCCTCCACTTCTCCAGCCTCAGCACATCACAGTCCTTCCCTTTGGCACCCAACAGACACGGGCCCCAGCGCCCACTGTGGTACCACCCTGTCCCAGGCACAGCCACTTTGCACCTCTGACCACTGCACATCCAGGATATCCCTGGTCTGGCCACACCGTCTATGGACCTCTGGCATTTCCCTGAGGCATCCCTGCCATCCCAAGGTTCAGCTCAGATGGGCTGGGAGGGCTCAGTGGGGGTCTGGCCACAGACATCAATTCAGGGCATGCTCTGTATCAAAAGGAGGAGAAAGCATTAGGAATAGCACATCACCAAGAAAAATAATTAAGATGGTCTACCCATGAGAACAAGTAACCATGGAAGACAAACAAGAACCTCTTCCTTTAGCATAAAGGATAAATAGGTTGTGCTTTCCCCTCTTAGCAGCATTTCATAGTGGTTGTGTCCCACTCGCAGCTTGCAAACTTGGCACCCCATTATCTGGCACTCGAAATCGCAAGTTAGAAAACATAAAGTTATTGAAACAATAAAACAGCTGAATTCCACTAAATTTATTCATTACCTTCTCTTTCTCTTTGCAGTCCTAAAAGGAAAGAAGCTAAGTCTTCCCATGCCTGTTTGAAGACACCCCACAGGCAGCGCAAGAAATACCAAAGATGAAGTTGTTTAAGAACACAGCTTTCCTTCCCTGGCCCTTTTTGACTAACGGATGGCTCAGCTGAGTTCCAACCCAGTGCCAGGAAGACAAGGCTTGGAAAACTGAAATGCTTTCAATCCATCAAACTCTTCCCCTCCATTTTTTAAATTTCTTCTCACTTGAATTTGGTGCTAGTGCTGGCCAATACTGAAGTAGTGCAATTTCTTCTCTCCCAGGTCTTCCCAGCATCTACATCCAAAACACACCTCCACCCTGACCCTGAGGCAGCACAAGGGAAAATGTCACTCCCTTTAGTCCTTCAGCAAGTGCCCACGGTAAAGGGAACATGTGCTAATAAAGTCTGTTAACTTAACTGACCCATTTCACAGGTGGCCACGTCTGACACAGCAGATGCCACAAACTGTTACTTTAACTCTGTATGAACTAACACCCTCTTGAAAATTAATTCTGCCCGACCCTTTCTCTATTCGGACCCTGTAACATCCAAGAAAAACACACTGCCCTTTAAATAACATCAATCTTCTAATTTTGCAAGTATTCAAATATCCTCCCCGCTCACTTATTTTCAGTTTCCTTGTGTTCTACAAACAGGGACGATTTCAATTAAAATTCAGTGGATTGCCAAGAAGTATTTCCATCTCCTTGAATTTGACTTTTAAGAACTGGGAAGAACAGGGGCAAAGACAGCTTTATATTCCAAAAATAAAGACAAAGTTCACAATTTATTGACAACAGTGTTTTTATTTATACCTACAAAAGAAAACAAGATGGTATCAAAAGGACAATTTACAAACTAAGAATAGTAACATAGCTCTTAGTATCCTGTGCCTGAACACCACAGATCTATGAATCTCTCAACTCAAGTCTTCGTTAATACAACAGGAATGTGTTCAGAGACCAGCAGGTGTGTGAAACAAGATGCTGATCCCACACAAAGCTAATAACCCTTCCATTGTTCAGAGAAATCCAAACAGTAAATTGCTTCAGGAAGTGGGAGGGGAGGAGACACCCAGCTCAGATATCTGACACTCCCACAAACTTTTTACAGATTGAAAACAATGCAAACAACACTAGAAGTTAATGCTTTATCAACAAGGGCCCTCCAGCTGGTATATGGAGCAGAGCAGAGAGCACCAGGTGGGAGAGGGGCAGCACATGCCACGGTGCATTCAGCGGTCTGGTTGATGCTCTGAACCGAGACCCTGGACTTCAGCTGACCTCAATGGCAATAAAGCACTGCAAGACTTGGCATCGATGTTTAAACATGCACAAGTCAACCCCAAAAGCGAAAGCTGTAAAAGACTGTAAGGCAGCTTTGGCAGTCCAGAGACTCTTTTTAAAGCCAGCCAGTGAGATGTTCTACTCCTACACCCCTCAAACGCATTTCTGCATTCTACTCTCATATTTAAAACAGAAGAAAAACCAACTCTGCATTTGCTTGCAAGGGAGGCCAAAGACCTATCAGTCAGTGCCTGGATAAACAAAATGTTTCTGGCTTTCACTTAACACAAGCAAAGGAACTTCCTGCCCATGCACTGGAAATACAAAATGGAACCAGGGAACTAAGGTTCTGGAAGGAATCTCCCTTCTCCCTGTCAGCAACCTACCTGTGTACTGCACAAAAAAAAAAAAAAAAAAAAAAGAAAAAAAGCGCATCCATCCCTCAAAATTTTACTCTGGGAAGAAAGTAAATTTTTAAAGAAATAATTTCTGTATAAGAAAGCTCTTTTCCAGGGCTATAACAAGTTCCACTCTGCTACAGAAGGAGTGGGCTGCCTTGTTCATCCATATGCAAGAATGCCAACAGAAAGAAACCCACAACCCCCCTGCACTCTCCTAATGCAGAGCGTGCCTCAAACCAGGAGATGTATCCATCCTTTTGTCATCTTATCAGACCAAGAGCAGCCAACTCCTGTTATCATCTACTGTCTCTGAACCGTCTGCTATTAGAAATAACAAGTCAACAACATGCTTGACTAAAGGGGGAAACCCCCCCTCACACCCACCTTAGCCTGTAAAATAAACAAGTTTTATTTATGTATGTACTAAAATTTCACTCTTCTCTAACATTTTCTAAAATACTACCTACCTGCAAGAGTTCAGCTCAAAGGGACCAATGGAGCAGGGAAATGCACTCAAAAGCCAGAGAAAGCAATAGTCAGTGCAAGGTACAAAAGAAACAAAGCTTCAGAATCAAAATGCACTAACCAGCTCACCGCTTACCTCATGAAAAGGAGATCCCAGGCAATCTCCTCCAGCCTTCCTCCCCCCCACCCTCCCCCCAGCCCACCATATTCAAACCTCTTAAATTTAAGTGTGGAAAACTCTGTCACATTTTATCGAGCGTAGCGGCATTCAGAACATTCCCCATGGCAAAAGGGAGCTTGTTTGTGAAGGACAGACAAACAAGATAACACTGTTCATCATTGCAGTTCTGCATAATTTCCAGGCTCCCAAGGAAGACTTCTTTGGATAAACGAAACAGAAATTTGAGAGCAATAACCAATTTAATGATAATCAGGCTTCATGCATTTATGATGCTGTAATTTAACAATCGTAGGGAAAGAACTTAACTTAGCTGAACATTTCAGCAGTGGCACCCACAGCAACTATCTGGTTTTCAGGTAGTGAATCCAAGAAAGATTTGGTCTCTGACACAGTTTTTAAACCCAAGCTCCCTACTGCAGGCTGTTACAGGCAGCAGAAAATGGGGCTTCCAGAACTTGAGAAACTGCCAACAATATACCCAAGTCTTCACTCTGAAGACTGCCCAGCTCAGATAAATGAACGGAGTTTTCCTATGGAAAGTCACCTACAGTAAGATTACAAGCAGTAATAGTGAGCTATTAAAAAAAAAATTAAGATTAGGAGAAGTGAACATTGCTCCCTTGCATTTGTATTTTAAATTAAGTGCTTTTAGGCTCCCCTAGTTTCCCATCTCTCTTTATACTTCCTGAAACTAAGTTAACGTGTTACAGGATAGAAACTTCTTTCCCTCAAAAGCAAATTTTCACACAAACCTTAGACACCAAGATGATCCAGCTGGGACCTATCTGCCTTATACCCTTCTCTTTTAGAAAAAATAAGATTTCCAAATTCCTCAACATGCAAGACAAAAATAATAAATTTTCCAGTCAACTATACATATATCTTAAAAAAAAAAAAAAAAAAGAAAAAAGAGGACAGGGTCATTAATGTGAACTGGGGGCCATTTCTGATGGGCTCAAGGGATTTGGATAGTGAATTCTAAGTCTAACCTGCATGAGAGTCATCACAATGGGAAAGAAGAGAAAGAAAAGGTTCCTTTAAATGCAAGAGGTCTACACTGGTCACCAGCAAGTGGTCTCATTTGCGGGAGGGGGGTGGGGGCGGGGGAGGGGGCGGGTACTGGTAGGTGGCAGTCTGTCCCATATAGCCCATCACGTTAGTGGCAGGGGGCTGTGGAAACTGTTGTGACATGAGCGGCTGTGGCTGCTGGCCTGAGCGCCCCACCATCCCTGCATACTGCTGTTGGGTAGTGCTCTGTGAGGTTCTCCCAGCCGTGGCAGCTGTGGTGCTGGCACCATAGCCACTAGCACTGTACTCTGCAGTGCCATAGCCACTCGTGCCATAGGCAGCTGCTCCATAGCTCCCTTGAGTGTAACCATACTGGCTCTGTGCTGCCCCAAAAGCTGAATTTGGGCTCCCGTAGGCACTGCCATAGGTCTTGTTGGCTCCGTTGGCATAACTTTCACCACGCTCACGGTCTCTGAAGCCACCTGAGTCTCTCCGGCCCTCTTTCACTCCCCGGAGCCTCCTGTCACACTCTTCCTGGTACATCAGGTTAGGGTTGTTTACTGAACTGCTCGTTCGGTAACGAGAACGACCTCCTGGCGATGGATACATCAAGATTTAGTACCATGAACAAGTCTTAAACAATGACCTCTGGTACACTTACGCCACCCTTTCTCCCCCTTCTACATCCCAAATTTTGCTCCCAAGGAGCACCTTCTTCTGACTGACTGTAACTTCTCTGCATGGCTGTGCATAAGCCTCTTCATTTTGTTCAAGGTGTAAACATGAAGTTCAACAAGGGTTCTTTATGTATGTGCTTGGAGACAAAGAAACAAGGAATTCAGGACTAATTTGGAAGTATAAGGAAACTCATTATTCCTTCAGGGAATGGGAAAATAAAGCCTGTCAGTTCCTGAAATTCAGTGTATCCCTTTACTGATTTCAATTTTGCACATTCACCTTGTTGCCTGTCCTTAGTAGGAGCCGTGAGGAAGTAATTACTTCAAGCAAAATCAGCTCCCTGAGGACCTTATGAGAGAAAATAATTCTACATCTAAGGTAAAACAGGGAACCGCCTCTCCCTTGGGACAGAAGTACTACATCAAGTGCTGGAACCTTAAGTATAGAACAATTTTATCACTAGTGTGTTAGACCTGCACTTACTACTTCCCTACCCTCTCTTAACATTCCCTCCCTCAAAATGGGGAACGTATCCCCCTGTGTGGCCCTTCACCCTTGTGCCTTTACCTCCACCGCCACCTCCTCCTCCTCTGTGGTCCACAAGCTGCATCAGCTTTGGATTGATGGCTTGATTGGCTTCTTCCAAGACTTTGATAAGCTCTCTGGCTTGTTTCAGATTTCCTGGTGTGAAGAAGGTGTAGGCAGTACCTTTGTTGGTACTACGCGCGGTACGGCCAATACGGTGCACGTAATCTTCGGAGCTGTTCGGATAGTCGTAGTTTATCACAAATTTAACATCTTCCACGTCTTGTGAAGTGCCCAGGAGCGAAGCACAGTGAAAGGGTGGGGTTGAGGAAAGGGGAGAAGAAGAGAGGACGTGCCAACGAAAGGTGGGGAGCACGAATGCAGGTGACAGTAATAAGAAAAAAAAATACGAAGTTAGTAATTGCATGGAATAAACACAAGACAGACTCATCCCAAAAGAGTAGAAGACTGAAATTTAAGATCATCAGGAACAAAGGTCAGTGTCTTGAAAAAGAATGGCAATTTTAAAGCAGTTTTGCCCTGCACTCAAAAGTCATCCTCCCCGGAATGCATTTCTCTGCCTTCCTGTGTCAAAGACACTGATGCTTGTGAGTAAGTTAATTGAATTTCATGCCTTTTTTTTTTTAAACACAATCTGTAAAGTGAAAATGTCACCATCACACAGAGCAAACTGGGGTGGAGGAAGGGCAGAACTGCCATGGCAAAGCTTTTACTCTGTTGGGAGAAGTCTAACAAAAAATAACAGTAATGAGATCACTTACCTTTTGCTCGGTAATATGAAATAAAAGGCAATCTTAAAAATATTCACCTTTACATTACTAATAAAATACAGTGAACTAATTCCCCTAGCCTAAGGCTTTAGGCATTCAAATACATTAGTTTTATTCAGCCAACTCATTAAAAATTAATCAGACCTAAAGTATCTTAACTCAGCTTTGTTGTTATCACTCGAATGCATTGCACTAACATTTCTGTGCTGTTCTGTCCAGTTCTGGCAAGCTTGTGTAATTTGGGCAATCCTGAATTACATAAGCAATTCCCTACTTTCAGTGTCACATGGAAGCAGGAAATAAAATTATCAAAATGGCTTTGTATGCAACAGTTTTAAAATTTAGGAGATCAGCATTGTGTGTTTTAAGGCAAGACAGACTCTGTAAACTTATGGAACAGAAACCAAGTAAATGTTAGTGCAACGCTTCAATGAAAGCACCTTAAGTACCAAAAGCACC